CCCAAAGATACAAAAAATGTCAAGGAAACACAGAAAAAAATACTTTGGGGAAAAGAAAGAGGGTCAATGGCTCTATTCCCCATAATGGTGCTGTGGGGAGGGAAAGGCTGGTTGAGAAAAAATGGGCTTAGCTTTGTAGTTAAGAATATTAAAAATATGTCAAGTCTCATTTTCACTGCCTTTCTCAAAATCCCCCTGGTATACACGTTTGTGGCAGTTTTGAAATTTTCCGAAAGATATTTCTGTAGATCTTTGTATTATTAAAACATGCACATTTTTCCTAATGCCCAAGGGTGTAGCTAACAACTACGTGTGTTTGCTTTTGATTCTACACTGAAGAATTAATGCAGTTTGGCACCACTTTAACTGGCAGGGCTCAATGCTTTGTAGATTACTGAGGCACCAGCACCCTTTGGTAAAGAAGGCTGAAGACCTTGTAAACGACACTTCCCAAGATCCCATAGTATTGAACCTTTGCAGTTAAAGTGCTTTCAAACTGAATTAATTCCACAGTATAGATACACCCCAGTTGCCTGTGGACTTATGGTGACCTTTTGAATTTCATTGGGGTTTCTTAGGGAAGGAAAATTAGGAGGTGGTTTGTTACGAAGGTTGAATGAAAAGCAATGCCTCCACCTTCGTTACTTGGGTTTGGATGGGGATATTTTAATAAATCAAATGCAGAAATAATCCTTAGAATGTGCTCTTTAACTATGGAGGATGTTGCACTGTGGTGAGATCCAGTCTCTGAAATTTCAAGTCTTTGCACTTTCATTTCGGGCATCAGCTTCATGTGTACCCATCGTGCACAGATTTTCCAGTAGCCAAGCAAAGCAATAAAGTGACCCACACATTCTTGCGAAATGCCAATTATGCTTGAAATTTCTCTATGAGTGATATGACAATCATCCTGAATCCTGAGTCAACCTTTTGCTTGTGAAACTCGGTGGTTGCTGTCACAGGACATCCAACTCTTTGTTTGTCATGCAAGTCAGATGTTCCCACCTCAACATCTTTAAACTTTCTCACCCAATGACACACAGTACTCACATCAACACAATCACCATAAACAGCTTGCATTATCTGATGAATCTCCTTTGGGGTGACACCTTCTGTTGTCAAGAATTCAAAGACTGCATGTTGCTTAAGTCGCATTGACTGACCGTCTGTGCAGGGTTCCATACTTTGCACTTTAACACAACCATTCAATGCTATTTATTTATCGTGTCATCAGCAACCATACCATTGTATTACATTTCTAACAGAACAAAACAAACACACAGATTTAAAAAAGTACACATATTTTGCAAACTTGGTAGTTGGTTAAATGTCCTTTGACCAGTATCTGGCCACTTGGAGTGCCTCTGGTGTTGCTGCAAGAAGGTCCTCCATTGTGCATGTAGCAGGGCCCAGGGTGCATTGCAGCAGGTGGTCAGTGGTTTGTTCTTCTTCGCACTCGCATGCCGTGGATTCCACCCTGTAGCCCCATTTCTTAAGATTGGCTCTGCATCTCGTGGTGCCAGAGCGCAGTCTGTTCAGCACCTTCCAAGTCGCCCAGTCTTCTGTGTGCCCAGGGGGGAGTCTCTCATCTGGTATCACCCATGGATTGAGGTGCTGGGTTTGGGCCTGCCACTTTTGGACTCTCGCTTGCTGAGGTGTGTCCAGCAAGTGTCTCTGTAGATCTAAGAAAACTATGTCTTGATTTAAGTCATTGATGTGCTGGCTGATACCCAAACAGGGGTTGAGCTGGAGATGTCTCTGTTTTGGTCATTTCACTATTGGCTGCTACTTCCCGGCGGATGTCAGGTGGTGCAATACTGGCTAAGCAGTGTATTTTCTCCAGTGGTGTGGGGCGCAGACACCCTGTGATAATGCTAAAGCTTCCTGTCAAAATGGAACTGTAGAGGAGCATCTACTGAACAAGCCAGTACCTGCTGCATACCAGTACGGCCATCTGTTGAGGAGTTATGAAGGTGGAGGCATTACTTTTCATTCAACCCTTGTAATTCCCTCCTCTGAAATATGATCTCTGGAATGACAAAATGAAGACTATACCCAAAATAAGAATCCTACCATGTACTTTTTTATAATCCCCAGTTGACTAACCATTGCAGAGACTGAGATAATAATCATTGTAAATATCTACAAGTATTCTGTTTCCTCTTCTCACATTCCCTTGGTAACTGTGCCTCCCATCAACTCTTCTTTGGACTCCTAAACTATCTTTCTAAATGCTCAGTTGAAGTACTAAGCTATTACAATGCTGGGACTTTGGGTACTGAAAGAAAACTTTGCTTTGAGTGTAGAATACTAATTGGGGTGCAGGGAGCACTGCTCTTATTTTTTCTTCTTCTACTACACTCCTTGTGTATGCATTTTTGAATTCTTTCCTCATTGGTTGATGCATATATAATTTTTTTTTTTGCAAATGTGGCTTCTCAAAATGAATTGCAAGCCCTGGAAATGTACTGTTTTTGTAAGCAAGATGCTCTTTGTCTGGTCTCCAATCTCAGGAAGTGTGAAAGAGATCTATTTGTAGGGAAACGAAAACCCAGTGGATTTATATTTAGACCCTACGTGCAGCACATAGTTATTTGCAAAGTTCCTGTTTCAGCTTCTCAGTATTTCCAGTTAAAAGGGAACTGATGTAGAGGGAATGGAGAAAAACCTCCTGGCAAGTCATTGCTGGTAATTTGTACTGATGGAAAGAATCCCACTATTAATCCAACTTCTTACAAATCCAGAAGATCTGCACCTAAATAATCGATTAAAGGCTCCCCAGTATCTCTTACAAACACAAAGTGAAAAATGATCTCTTACTATGCAAGAGAGTCAACTCCACGCTCCGACTACTCTTACCGTATTGCCCTGACAACAAGACCAGGTCTTATATTAAGTTTTGTTCCAATAGATGCATTAGAGCAGCATTTCTCAACCTGGGGATTGGTACCCCGGGGGGGGGGGGGTCGTGAGGGGGTTTCAGAGGGATCACCAAAGACCATCAGAAAACATATTTCTAATGGTCTTAGGAACCCCTTTGGCAGAGAAGGCTGAAGATCTCTCCGCCTGTCCTTCTCTTCCTTTTTGGAAACAGATGGCAAAGCCTTACTATGCTGTGATTGGCTGGCCTCTCAGCAAAGGGGAGGGCTGTTTCTGAGATTCCAAGCAGGGAAGGGAGAGCAGGCGTGCTCAGTGCATGGAAGCATGGTGCACATGTGCAGGCAAGGGAGAGAATGAAAGACTGGAGGGAGATTCATGACAGAGTCCCTTCAAGACATGGGGGGTCTGTGTAGGAAGATTGCCCCAAATCTATCATTGGTGCGGGCGAGGGAGAGCATGTGAGACTGGAGGGAGGCTCACACCAGCGAGTCCCTTCAAGACATGGAGTTCTGTTTGGGAAGTTTGGCCCTATCATTAGTGGGATTCAAAATGCTCTTTGATTGTAGGTGAACTATAAATCCCAGCAACTACAACTCTCAAATGTCAAGGTCTATTTTCCCCCAAACTCCGTCAGTGTTCACTTTTGGGCATATTGAGTATTCGTGCCAAGTTTGGTCCACATCTATCATTCTTTAATCCACAGTGCTCTCTAAATGTAGGTGAACTACAACTCCAAAAGTCAAGGCCAATACCCACCAAACCCTTCCAGTACTGTCTGTTGGTCATGGCAGTTCTGTGTGCCAAGATTGGTTCAATTCCATCATTGGCAGAGTTCAGAATGCTCTTTGATTGTAGATGAACTATAAATCCATCAACTACAACTCCCAAATGACAAAATAAATCCCCCACCAGTATGCAAATGTGGGCCTATTGGGAATCCGTGCAAAATTCAATCCAGTGAATGAAAATACATCCTGCATATCAGATATTTACATGATGATTCATAACACTAGCAAAATTACAGTTATATTTGATGGTTGGGGGGTCACCACAACATGAGGAAATGTATTAAGAGGTCAAGGCATTAGGAAGGTTGAGAATCACTGAAGTAGAGGAAGAAGGAAAAAGGAGGAGGGGGAGGAAAAAGAAGACACTGAGAGAGAAGGGAGAGAAAAAAGATGAAAAGGAGACAGTAGAAGGAAGGAAGGGAAAATGGAAGAGAAAGGAGAGAAAAAGAGAAGGAGAAGGGGAGAGGAGGAGAAAAGAGAAGGAGAAAGAGGGAGAAAAAGAGAGGAGAAGAAGAAGAAGGGAGGAGAAGAGAAAAGGAGAGGAGGAGAAGGGAAGAGAAGGAAGAAAGAAAGAAAGAGGAAGAAAGAAAGAAAGAAAGAAAGAAAGAAAGTGAAGAAAGAAAGAGAGAGAACATCCTCAAAGGATTGGACAAGTACGCACATAGTAGTCGTCGGGAGTGAAGGAGATAAGAGGAAGAAGGAGAAAGTGAAGGAAAAAGAAGTGCGTTTAATCAGAATCCATATAAATAATACGGTCTACCCTTAGAAGAAGGAAGGATGAAAGGGAAAAAGGAAGGAAGAAAAGAGGAAGAAGCAGAGGAGGAAGGAAGGGAAAACGGAAGAGAAAAGTGGAGGAAAAGGAAGAGGATGAAGAAGGAGAAAGGAGGAGGAAAAAGAAGACTTGGAGAAAGGAGAGAAAGAAGAGGAGGAGAAAGGAGAAGAAGGAAGGAAGGAAAGTAAGAGAAAGGAAGGAAGGAAGGAAGGAAGGAAGGAAGGAAGGAAGGAAGGAAGGAAGGAGGAAGGAAGGAAGGAAGGAAGGAAGGAAGGAAGGGGCAATAGAAGAAAAAGAGGAGGAAAAAGAAAAGGAGGAGGAGAAAGGCATCTTTTTTGGAGGTTGTTGTAGGTTTTTCGGGCTATATGGCCATGTCCTCTAGAAGCATTCTCTCCTGACGTTTCGCCTGCATCTATGGCCAGCATCCTCCGAGGTTGTGAGGTTTGTTCCTTTCCTTTGGTCCTTCCCCGCTGTCTTTGCCAAACCAAACCCGACAATTGTCGCAACCCTCCTCCTCCGCAGCGCCCAATCCCTTCACCAAGGGGGGAGGGAGAGCCAGGGCTTCTGTGCGGGGAGGGGAGAAAGGAAACTACATCCCCCAGAAGGCACAGCGCACCAGAGAAGCCTTTAATAGGGCCGGCCGGGCTTAAGATGGTGGCGATGGTGGTGGCGATGCGGGATCGAAGCGGCAGGTGAGGGCGGCGGGGGGCGATGCGCGAGAAGGGGCCTCTCCTCCTTTGTAGGCGAACAGGAAGAAGGAGAGCTCAGAAAGGGAAGATGTAGAAGGGTTGGCCTTCTTTGTTTAGCTTGATGGCAGTGAAGACCGTGTTCTTCTGGGTTGGAGGCGCAGGCTGAGCATCCCTTGAACCAAAAGGCTGGGGACCAGAAGTGCCTTGGCTTTGCCTTGGCTTTGGAAAGGCATGCAAATGTGCAGATGTCCCTTCGAATTGGGTGATGCTGGCCATATTGATTTCGCAGGGTTCTCTTCGGCAAGGAATACCCCTTTGACAGTCCCTTCCTCTGAAATACAGCCTCCACTCTCCACCACCAACTCAGGTTCCTTGGCCATCTCCCATCCAAGGATAAACCATGGCTGACCCTGTTTAGTTTCCAAGTTTAGGTGGGATCTGGTGCCTTGAAGGTACTGCATTGGTCTCTCAGAGCCACCGATTCAGCACCCATCCACAATATTTTTTTAGCTAGTGCCTCTCCATACTACAAGCCCCAGGATTCCCTTTTGCAGGGAAAGTGGCATCCCTCTGCATTCCTTCTCCATTGAAAATCATAGAATCCTAGAGTTGGAAGAGACCTCATGGGCCATCCAGTCCAACCCCCTGCCAAGAAGCAGGAATATTGCATTCAAAGCACCCCTGACAGATGGCCATCCAGCCTCTGTTTAAAAGCTTCCAAAGAAGGAGCCTCCACCACACTCCGGGGCAGAGAGTTCCACTGCTGAACAGCTCTCACAGTCAGGAAGTTCTTCCTCATGTTCAGATGGAATCTCCTTTCTTGTAGTTTGAAGCCATTGTTCCGCGTCCTAGTCTCCAGGGAAGCAGAAAACAAGCTTGCTCCCCTCCCTGTGGCTTCCTCTCACATATTTATACATGGCTATCATATCTCCTCTCAGCCTTCTCTCTTCAGCTAAACATGCCCAGCTCTTTAAGCCGCTCCTCATAGGGCTTGTTCTCCAGACCCTTGATCATTTTAGTCACTCTCCTCTGGACACATTCCAGCTTGTCAACATCTCCCTTCAATTGTGGTGCCCAGAATTGGACACAATATTCCAGGTGTGGTCTCACCAAGGCAGAATAGAGGGGTAGCATGACTTCCCTGGATCTAGACACTAGACTCCTATTGATGCAGGCCAAAATCCCATTGGCTTTTTTTGCTGCCACATCGCATTGTTGGCTCATGTTTAACTTGTTGTCCATGAGGACTCCAAGATCTTTTTCAAACATACTGCTCTCGAGCCAGGCATCCCCCATTCTGTCTCTTTGCATTTCATTTTTCCTGCCTAAGTGGAGTATCTTGCATTTGTGTAAGATACTGGTGCTGGTTACATTGTATTCCTGGGATTTGGGGGGTTTCTTTTGTAAGGAGAGATTGCTTTCTGGAGAGAATGAAGATACACAGAGTGCATTCCTTTTAAATACTCCCTCTTCCATGTTCACTACAGCCAAACCACTGCTGTGTGCATCGGAGGGAAGGAAGAATCCAGAATTCCTATAATTTCCATCTTGAATTATGTTTGGTGGCAGTAGGAGCAGGAAAAAATTGTGGTGTTCCTCCCAGTGGTGCAGTGGGTTAAACTGCTGAGCTGCTAAACTTGCTAACCGAAAGGTCACAGGTTTGAATCCAGGAGCAGGTGAGATCCTGCTGTTAGCCCAGCTTCTGCCAACCTAGCACTTCAAAAACATGCAAATGTGAGTAGATCAATAGGTATTGCTCCAATGGGAAGGTAACAGCACTCCATGCAGTCATGCCAGCCACATGACCTTGGAGGTGTCTGGACAACGGCGCTTTAGCTTAGAAATGGAGATGAGCACCAACCCACAGAGTAGGACATGACTGGACTTCATGTCAGGGGAAAACCTTTACCTTACTGCCTCTCAAGGCAGATATTTGCTTCTATAAATGAAATGCCCATTGGACCCACAAATCCCTTGCATAATGGAGAGTGAAGGTGCATCTACATCAGTGTTTCTCAACCTGGGGGTTGGGACCCCGGGGGGGGGGGGGGGGGGGGTCATGAGGAGGTTTCAGAGGGGTCACCAAAGACCATCAGAAAACATATATTTCTGATGGTCTTAGGAACCCCTTTGGCAGAGAAGGCTGAAGATCTCTCCGTCTGTCCTTCTCTTCCTTTCTGGAAACAGATGGCAAATCCTCCCACCAAAAGCCCTCCTCTACTGTGATTGGCTGGCCTCTCAGAAAAGGGGAGGGCTGTTTCTGAGACTCCAAGCAGGAGGGGAGCAGGCATGCTCAGCACATGGCAGTGTAGTGCACATGTCCAGGTGAGGGAGAGCGTGTAAGGCTGGAGGGAGGGTCACACCAGTGAGTCACTTCAAGGCATGTGGGTTCTGTTTGAGAAGTTTAACCCAATTCTAAACTTCAATTGTAGGTGAACTACAATTGCTCTTTGATTGTAGGTGAACAATGAATCCTTGTAGGTGAACTATTGCTCTTTGATTGTAAGTGAACTATAAATCCTAGAAACTACAACTCCCAAATGTCAAGGTCTGTTTTTCCCTAAACTCCACCAGTGTTCACATTTGGGCAGTGGTTCTCAACCTGGGATCCCCAGACGTTTTTGGCCTACAACTCCCAGAAATCCTAACAGCTAATAAACTAGCTAGGATTTTTGGGAGTTGTAGGCCAAAAACATGTGAAGTCTGATTCAATTCATATCAGGTATTTATGCCAAATTTGGTCCTGTGAATGACAATACATCCTGCATATCCGATATTTACATTACAGTTCATAACAGTCACTAAATGACAGTTATGAAGTAAAAACAAAAATCATGTTATGGTTGGTGGTCACCACAACATGAGGAACTGTATTAAGGGGTCGCGGCATTAGGAAGGTTGAGCAACACTCTTCTACACTATATAACTAATGCAGTTCAGCACCATTTTTTAACTGCCACGGCTCAAATGGCAGTTGCCCTTTGGTGAGGCACCAACACTCTAGGAATGAGACCTTGGAAACTACAAGCCCCACCACTCCATAACATTGAGCCCTGGCAATTAAAGTGGGGTGAAACTGCATGAATTCTACAGTGGAGATGCACACTAAGCCATTATTTAATTTGCTGTGTTCACATTCCCTTGAGCACCTTGCTTACATCTTTGGATACATCCAAATGCTCAACTGAGTTACTGCAATGCTGGAAATTTGAGGACGGTGGGAACATTTTATTGGAGGGTCAATGTCCTCCTTTTTCACCCTGATGGGCTACAGCCCTGTAACCTTGGCCTTTGCGAAACTCATCGCTGGCCTGGGATAGAAGGTAGAAAATCCTTTGCTGATCATCTTAGAGCGGCTAATCCTATTTGTCCCTCAGTTTCAAGCACATCTGCTTTCCTCGCTTTCCTCCTTCTCTAGACGTCCATGCTTCACTGCCAGCAAGCTTTTGCAGCCCCGAGGTTGAAGTTGATGGGAGGGGATGTGAATCGCAGCCTGTTACGCAAGAACTGGAGCTTTTTCGACTCTCCCTCTGGATTTGAACTAACAGGATTGTTCAGGAGGAGAGAAGGAAATGGGGAAAAGAGAGAAGCCCAGAAAAACATCACGTAGTACTTCAACTAGTTTTATTTTTGTACCTGCCTTCCTCACCCCCCCCCTCCTCAAATTGGTCTTACGTCAAAGAAGATGGAATAATGGTGGGCAAGTGCCTGAGGATAATTTTAGATGGAAACACATGTTCAGACACATGTAGTACAGTCTGGATTTTGCACAGGGATCTTCCCGTCTTTGAGACTTTTTGAAAACAGTGCAATCAGCCTTCTACATCTTCTGGGGCCGAGGCAGGACGCCCATAAAAGTGGAAAAACCATGAATACTGTAATATTTGCATGGGTGAAAACCCCTGCAGGGATCTCTATACTGCATCTACACAGTAGAACAGTATTTCTCAACCTGGGCGTCGGGATCCTGTGGGGGTCGTGAGGGGGTGTCAGAGGGGTCGCCAAAGACCATCAGAAAACACAGTATTTTCTGTTAGTTATGGGGATTCTGTGTGGGAAGTTTGGCCCAATTCTATCATTGGTGGGGTTCAGAATGCTCTTTGATTGTAAGCAAACTATAAATCCCAACCAATACAACTCCCAAATGTCAAAGTCTATTTCCCCCAAACTCTGCCAGTGTTCACATTTGGGCATATTGAGTATGCACAACAAATTCTATCCAGATCTATCATTATTTGAGTCTACAGTGCTCTCTGGATGTAGGTGAACTATAACTCCAAAACTCAAGGTCAATGCCCACCAGACCCTTCCAGTATTTTCTTTTGGTCATGTGTGCCAAGTTTGGTTCAACTCCATCATTGGTGGAGTTCAGAATGCTCTTTGATTGTAGGTGAACTATAAATCCCAGCAACTACAACTCCCAAATGACAAAATCAATCCCCCCCACCCCCAACACTACCAGTATTCAAATCTGCGCGTATCAGGCATTTGTGCCAAATTTGGTCCAGTGAATGAAAATACATCCTGCATATCAGCTATTTACATTACGATTCACAAAAATAGCAAAATTACAGTGATGAAGTAGCAACAAAAATAATTTTATGCTTGGGGGTCACCACAACATGAGGAACTGTATGAAGGGGTCATGGCGCTAGGAAAGTTGAGAAACATTGCAGTAGAATCAATGCAGTTTGACACCACTAACTGTCAGGGCTCAATGTGATGGAATCCTGGGAGGTGTAGTTTTATAAGGTCCTTAGCTTTTTGTGCTAAAGAGTGCTAGTGTTTTGCCAAACTGCAACTCCCAGGACTCCATTGCATTGAGCCACAGCTCCAAAAGCCGCATGATCTAGTAAGGTTGATCCACATCATAATAGTCCTATTTCAATTTAACAAGGGACATGTGCACATAACTTGGACTGGAGAGACTTGGGTTCAAGGTTTCCTGGATGATTTTGGGTTGGTCACTTCTCCGTCAACCTAATCTACCTCGTGGAGTTGTT